ACCAAATATTTCCGAAGTTGTTTTGATTACTTTACAAAATATATTAAAAGCGGAAATTAATTTCGTAAAATGTAATATATCTAATATTTCTTTTTGTTGCAAGTCTGTCAAAAGCCTAATCTTATATAGGGCATCTTCGTGTATGTATACATAAGAACGACATTAGCAGTCTTATCTTATTAGTATACACACACTCGTATGCCCACATCGCTAATGAAAAGAATATTTAACAATATTCCAAAAGTTTTCATTAGCTCTGAATTACTAACATTATTTATCTTATACTCAACACCTTGCCTTAGGATTTTATTAATAGATTTTGTTTTTAGTGAAAAAAAATAAAAAAAAGTTAAGTGGAAAAATAAGGAGTTATTAAAGCATGGAGACACTAATGATTAAAATCAAAAAGGATAACGACAGGGAAAATAAAATAGTTTAGGTGGCTGTATGCTAAAATAATAATATAGACAAAAGTGAAGATGGAAAGTGATTAAGTTCATAATTGCTTCAAAGAAACGAGAAATTACGAAGTAATTGCTTGTTCAATAAATGGTAGATATAAATCCGATTACTACGAATTTTATCTAATTTACCAACAAAAACTCTTAATTCTTTTTCTAAGTGTTCGGTTTTTTTTTGTTTGACTGTTTCTCAGGTATTATTTTCCATATTAATACTTTTTTATTTTTTTAATTGAAAAGGAGAGATTTATTACTTTACTCGGAATAATATAATAATGAAGTCATTGTCTAAAAATAATATAATATGGTAAAAAAGGAAAAAAAAATATTTTATTTCTTGCTGGTCTTTCATATCTATTGCTTGATTTCAGGTTGGTTTAATGGAAGAGATAAAATGAACTTTCCTGGTTCTTCTTATTTTTGACATTTTTTGGCATGATGGTGTACTTGAAATAGTATTTTAACCATTGGTTTTATTCTTTGGAAATTAATAAAGCGACCAAAAAATAATAATTATTCTTATCAGGTTTTTTCTCTGATAGTCATGGTTAGCAATATAATTACCATGTTAATTTATGGTCTTGGTTTGCTTATCTGACTAATTACTGGATTAACTACCTATTTAGGAATTACTGGTCGAACTACCAAACTGGTTCCCATCCCCAGCCACAAGATCGGAGAAATGCAAATTGGCAAAGTAATTCAATGGTGGCTTTATTCACCACTTTGACATTTTATCGCTCCAGCCTATTTTATTGTTTGATTTTTCCGCCATGAGAGAACGGACCTTTTGAAAAAGAAACTAAAACTGACTATTTTGTTTTGTTTAACTCAGCCCACTCTTTATTTTTCTTATGGATATCTTCGCAGTAAACTTGGCGATAAGGAATATTTTAAAAATTTTAAAGCCCGGTGGGTTTTGCCTTTTCTCAGTTCTAAAAAAATGAGTGATAAATTAAATATTGACCGCGATTATCGTTTTGTCTGAAAAATTATTTTAGCCCTTTTTTGGTTTAGTTTTTTTGGTCTAATAGTTTATTTAATTTTACGATATCGGAGAAAAATAAGGGATTATTTGTCAAGCAAAAAGCAGGGATTAATGAGGAAAAAAAGAGAAATTTCTTCTAGTCCAAGATTCATTGGTAAGAGAGAGAGAGAGAGAGAGAGAGAGACGACACTAAATGAATAGCCAGTGCTTAATTATTCGTTATGGAGAGTTGTTTTTGAAGGGGAAAAATAGGAATGATTTTGTTCAAAAATTAATTGACAACATTAATCTATCTCTCCAAAAAAATAATTTTTCTAACTTTAACATTAAAAAACTTCACGACCAATTAATAATTACTACCAAGGATGATCAGGAGTTGTCTAAAATGTTTCCTGCTTTAAGTAAAGTATTTGGAATTAGCACTTTTTTTCTTGCTTATAGGTTAGAAAATGATTGTGAAAAACTTTACAATTTTGTTAGAGAAATTACTAATTATTACAAGATCGACTTTACTACTTTCAAATTTGACATTAGTCGGAGTGATAAAACTTTTTCCAAGAATTCTTTAACCTTACAAAAAGAATTAGGGGAGATTGTAGTTAAAAGGCAAGGTTTAAAGGTCAATTTAAGCAATCCGCAAAAAACTTTTTATATCCGAATTTACCGTGGCTTCATCCTTTTTTTTACCGAGAAAGAAAAGGGTCTGGGAGGCTTACCAGTGGGCAGTTCTGGAAAAGTTTTATTGCTTTTAAGTGGGGGGATAGATTCACCAGTAGCCTCTTATCAATTAATGAAAAGAGGTCTAGAAGTTATTTATTGTCATTTTTATCACCAAGAGGAAGGACAAAAAAAAATATTTACGCTTGGTGAAAAGTTAAGTCCTTATAATAACTACTCTAACAATGTTTGCTTGATTAATGTTCAGCCCCTTTTTGCCGAAATTAGTCATATCAGTCAGGAAAAATACCGCCTAATTATTTTAAAAAGAATGTTTGTTCGCTTGGCTTGTTCGCTGGCCCAAGAGTTAAAAATTGGGGCCATTGCGACTGGTGATTCATTATCCCAAGTGGCCTCTCAAACCTTAGAAAGTTTAGCAGCCATTCAACACGTTAGTTCTTTGCCGATACTTTGCCCTTTAATTAGTTGAGATAAAAAAGAGATAATTGAAGAAGCCCAAAAAATAGGGACTTATGACCTTTCTTTAATTAAGTATGAGGATTGTTGTTCTTTATTTGAGCCTAGACGTCCCGTTACCAGGCCAAGAAAAGAGGTAGTAGAGGAATTAGAAAAAGAGATTTTCTGACCAGAAGTTTTGGAGAATATTAGCAAAAAAAGAAAAAAGTTTTAGGTTAAATTAGCAACCATTTTTTAACTAAAATTGAGTGTTTTGGAAAAAATATTGTAAAATTATAAATATAAAATGGTTAAAATTCGTTTAAGCCTGAAAGGTAGAAAAGGGCAACGTTCTTTTTGAATAATCGCTATTGACGAAAGAAAAGCGCGTGATAGTGGCAGTTATTTAGAGTATTTAGGATTTTATAATCCTCGTAGTAAAGAAATAAAACTAGACAAAGAGAATATTAATAAATGATTATCGCATGGGGCCCAACCTACTGATACAGTGCGTGATTTATTTAAAAAATATCTTTAAGAGTTTTTTCTTTTTCTTGGTTTTCGAATGTTAGAAACCTCTTTGTTTTTTCCTTTTTCGAATAATTATTATTAAAGTAATTAGAGCAAGCAGAGAAAGAATTATTATGACAGTTGGCAAAATTAAATCATTATCAGGTTTCTTGTCCCCGTTTGAAGTTGGATTAGCCAATGCTCTCTTTAAAATAGACTGCTGTATTTTGTGAGTAAATTCAGCCACTTTTTGGGGAGTATCTAAATCCTTTAAATAATCTTTTCAGTCCTTTCCTCCTAATCAACTTTCTTTATTTAATTCCTGGTAGGAGATACCATTTTCTTTTAATGATTTTTCGATTTCTTGTTCAGATTTTTGTTGGGCTTGGGGAAGAGGGAGACGAGAAATTGCTTGAATATTTTCTGGCAATTCATTTGTATTGGAGTTATCGTCAGAATTGGGTTCGGAATTATTGTCAGAACTATCTCCCTCAGTTTCATTTCCAGTCTCTTCTCCCTCGCTTTGGCTGGGGCCATTGTTGTTATAGCCATTGCCATTTTCATTCCCCTTTCCTTCTCCATCGCTTTGTTTCTCGCTAATCAACTTTTTGGTTTGTTGCCAAATATTCCTAAATTGTTTGGGCTCTGAATTATTAACCTGATTAATAAAATTTTTCTTTTCCTCGTCAGAAAGTAAATTTCAACCTTCTAATGATTTTAGAGTTTCCTCAATAAAACTTTGTCTTTGTTTAGCAAGATTTTTTTTGTTTCAAACTTCCTTTTCTCAATTTCGAGCACATTTTTCCGAGCAAAAAACCATTCCTGGATTATTCTCAAAATAAACTCCCGTGCCTTGTTGGTATTGCTGACGGCAAAAGTGGCAAGTTGGAGCCTTTGGGGAGCCATAACTATTTCAATCAAACTTATCAAAACAGTCTTGGGAACAAAAAAATGTCCTTGGAACTCCATGTTTTTTCGATGAGCCAATTCTTCATCCTGCTTTATTATTTTTTGCTTCTTTTGGTCCTAAGGTTGGTTCCTCATTTCTTTTTTCTTTATGACAAGTGCCACAAGTGGCTTTCCCTAGTCCAAAACCAGAAGGGAGATTACTTTCTGTTTCACCAGTTTTTAAGACATTAAATGCTCCACTTAGTCTAGTATATTCTAAATTTTTGCGAGAAAGTTCTAAATCTTTTTCTTTCTCCCTACCAAGAAGTAAATTAAATTGGGCATCAGAAAGGCCCGGATTTTTCTTCCTTAATCTGCTTCGTATTTTGTTCTCAACATTAGGAATAATTACTCTTTGATAAATTTCCTTTAAACCGAGGTATTGTTTCCTAGGGTTAGAACTATTAATAAGCCTTGCGTTTGTAAAACTACTAGGAAAAGAACTTAAATCTTGTCGGAATCCCTCCGCAAACTTTTTAATAAATTGTTCCGCTTTTTCTTTGGTGTCAAAAAGAATTTCTAAATCAATTGAATCTGGATTGAATGACATAATTTTAAAGATACTTGTTTAAACTCTTTTCGGCGAATACTTTTAACAAACTTTAAAACACCTGATTGTATTTCCCCCCTTACTGTTTTTTTTTTTTTTGTTATTGCTGTCATATTCTCTTTAATTTATTTATTATATAATAGTTTATTAATTCTTTTTAATACTTTTTAAAAGTTGCCTTAAACTGCCAACTCCAAAATTAACTCTTCCCAACTCTTTCATACGGGCTTTACCTTTTTTTTGTTTGGCTCAGAGTTTCATTTTTCGGGTTCTATCTCCCCCATATAAGTTTCCAGTAACATGCTTTTTGAGGGCAGGTAAAGTCTCTCGGGCAATTACTTGATTGCCGATAGTAGCCTGAATCGGGACAGAAAAAGTTTGTTTGTTAAGAGTAGTTTTTAATTGCTCGCAGGTCGTTTTGGCTCGTTCATAAGCAAAAGTTCGGTGAACCAAAAATGATAAATCAGGAATTAATTGATTGTTTAATAAAATGTCTATCTTGACAATATCACTTGGTAAAAAACCGATTATCTGATAATTAAAGGAAGCATAACCATGAGAAATAGACTTAATTTTGTCATGAAAATCCAAAATAAATTCCGCAAAAGGCAAATGATAAGTTAGTTGATAAAGCGAGCCAGTTTTCCATTCTTGTGATTGATAAATGCCTCGTTTATTTTGACATAATTGTGAAATTGCCCCTAAATGCTCCTCAGGGGTGGTAATATTTAAATTAATAAATAATTCTTCAATATTTTTTATTTTGTCCTTGGTCGGTATTTTTTGGGGATTATTGGTTTCCAACTTTTCACCATTGGAAAAAATTATCTGGTAATTAATGCTGGGTGGAGTAGTAATAATTTCGCAATTAAACTCTTTTTCTAACCTTTCGCAAATAATTTCCCGGTGTAATAAGCCCAAAAATCCACAACGAAAGCCAGGACCAAGCAATTGTGAATCAATAGTTTCTAAACTTAAACTGCTATCTTGGATTTGTAATTCTTCTAAAGACTTTTTAAATTCCTTGTAATGTGAACTATCACTGGGATATAAATTAGAATAAACGTTGGGTTTGATTTCCTGATAGCCAGCCAAAGGGGAAACGTTATTGTTTGGATCAAAAACTGTATCCCCTACTTTTACTTCTCGCATGTCGCGAATGTTGGCAGTAAATCAACCGATTTCCCCAGCCGTTAATTTATCTTTCAAAATCTCTTTTGGTGTTTTTACTCCTACTCTTTCTACTTGGTAAAATTTTTGCTGGTTAGTATAAAACTTAATTTTTTGCCCTTTTTCTAATTCTCCGGCAAAAATGCGAGTATAAATAATCACTCCGTAATAGCGGCTATAAAGTAGGTCGAAAATTAAGGCTTTTAGTGGTTTTTTTTCCATTCTTATTTTTTAATTATTTTTTCCACCACTCATTATAAAATAGCGAAAATTAATTATTCCTCTCATTAACAAAATTTTATTTCTGTTTAATGAAACAAGGTTATTTTTTTCTTCGGCTGATAGTAATTTGTTTTATTGTTGAAATTGGTTTCTTACACTCACTGCCACTTATTCTCTATTTTTTTTGTTATGCTTCTGACTCACTAATTGTTTTGATTAGTCATAAATAATTTTTATCACTATTCTCAACTAAAAGCAGTTTCCCAGGCCTTTTTAATTTCGGCCATTATTTCTGGGCTAACCCCTCCTAACTTTTCTTTAAAACGTATTCCCTTGTCTCAGGTAAAAGGAGAGTCGCATAAAATCTTACTTGGCTCATCTAAACCATTTTCTTTGGTATTTTTGATAAAAACTTCCACTGGCAGAATGTTTTCCAAATCATCAGTAGTTAGTGGCAACACCACTACCGAGTTATCATGCTCATTACGTTCATTGCTAATTGCCTAATTCTTTAATTCGCTCAGGGTTTTTTAATAGTCAAATTTCTCCATAGCGAGGAATAATTGGCAAGTAATTTATTTTACTTTTCATTTTTTTTCTCCCGTTTATTTAAGTCTTCCCGAGACATTTCGCCGTAGGTTTGCAGCACT